TAAAAGGCAAGGTTGTTTGCTCATTCAACTTGAAGATATTATTTGGAATAATCAAATGTTAGTATAGACAGCTTTATATTTCTAAACAACATTAAAAGACACGTGGTTTGCGCACACTTTGCTTGAATGTGATTGAAATTTATAACCATTGCTAAAACAGAAGAAATGTTTATAAGCGAGATTTAACTCTATCGTTTCTTCTGACTTTCTAGATTTCAACAGAATTTGATTTTCCATGCTGACTGATTTCATTCACTAAATCAATGTCGAAATATTCTCAAGTTTAACAACGAAATCAGCGGTATTGTTTTGTCAAGAGTAATACAACACAATATGGATATTCGGTCTGCCTCTATATAGCAATTCAGCAGCTGATGTTTCAATACTACTCGATCTGATTATTCCATAACTTCTAGGTGGTATCTTTAGTTGTTTATCTGTGACTTCAATGGACTCTAGTTCCATCATCAACTGTAGAGCTTTCTTTAGCGATGTACACCAACTTCGATCATTTTCTCGTCTATTATGACATCATAAATTTGTGCCAACAAATCCATCACTTCACATAGATAAACTGGGGAAGATAATTGGGGAAGCCTTTCCAAATTTTCTGTGAGTTCAGATAAGGTTTCGATCCTCTTTCCTCTACACCTTGTTTCAGAAGTTTGCTCTGGATACTTCTTTCTGGCATGTCATGCCAAACCTGTCAGATAAGGCAGTTACCAATGCTTGTTAGTTGTTATAGCTTTCAACTGGAAGGTTACTTAAAGTTGTTAAAGCTGGTCTTTTTAGATGGGCAACAAGATAAATTGCTCGTTGTTCTCTATTCCATCTTTTCATTTTGGAAATTATTTCCAACTGAGCCTGATATTCCTTCTATAATACCTTTCAATCATAGTTCATTGGTTTCTTGATCAGCGATGTTGTTGAATTAGCCAGCTAAATTTTGGAACTGAATTTGGTAGCGATATGACGGGAGTAATCCAGGAAGTACCTACATTAACAGAAGGCACAGCAGTAGTTGTAGTAGGTATAGACCAAATAAGTTGTCCTATTACATATTTTGTAGCAAATGGTGTTTTAGGTTAGAATTCATGAGTTGATGCAGAAAGAAGTGTAACTGGTTTAATCTTCGTATCTACAACTCCGACTTCCAGAAGTTTTATTCTGATACTGATGTTCCTTTCTATATCATTGATCTTGCTGTTATAACCTCTCCGTGCTTCAGATTTATATATTAGGTCGTCAAGAAAATAATGTTGCTTTTTTTAGATGAAAAATCCCGAACAACTTATATATCCAAACCAAACATTCATTAAATGAAATAGTCTCCATTCTTATCGAT